GGAACTACGGTCATCCCCAAATTTTAATTTTTACTATTTTTAAAAAATTCGAAAAAGTAAAAAAAAGTGGTAAAAAAAATGTTTTTTTTCAGGCAGTCGCCATTTTGTGAAAAAAATTTTTTTTCAACTTTTTCGTAGTTCCAACTATAGCGACAATACTCTAGATTAATAATCTTTTTTATTTTTTTGTTTTCGATTGTTAGGAGGGATGGAATCGTGAGTATAGTCACGTGCCAATTTTTTGAGACCCCGTCCACTTCATCAGCTGCTAATTTTTTGAATTTTCAACTTTTTTAATTTTTTTTTGTATTCTTATAATGTTAATAAATAACTTATAAAAAATTGTATAGTAAAAATATTGATTGCCTTTATTTTACGGCACTTCAAAAATTATCTGAAATTTCATGCTTTTAGACCAGAATAATATAAAATAAAAATATTTAAGGTAAAAGATCCAGTTATTGATACTTATAATTTTATTCTAATTGAAAAAAAAAAAAAATCAACTCTAATAAATTAATAAATATAATTTTTGCATTATAAATTTTAAGAAAATTGGTTTTTTGAGAGCATTTAATTTTTTTAATTAAAATAAACTTAAATAAATTTAAATTAAAATAAACTTAAGTTACAGGTGTTAAACAACTAGTCCAGTGTCAATAACTGGGTCTCTTACGTTATTAATATAAAATAAAAATATTTAATAATATAAAATAAAAATAATAATGAGCAGAAATAATTACCGTCATATTTTCATAGATCCAAATAATATTACTGGTAATATTTTTAAAGTTACTTGTGACCAATCCACGAATCTCTCCATCATCTTTGATAATCGCGGAGGACTCCCATACAAGCTTTCCAAAAGTTTTCCAAGATTGAATCATAGTAGTTACGAAATATGTGGTAGTCGAAGCGATATCTCCCAAATCTTTGATCAGATTTTTAAGCAGAGTTGAATCCTCACTCTGAATGTACAAAGATTTATAGATGAAACCACAAAAAATCTTAACATTCGAGCAAGTGTCGCGATAAATATCCTGCAGCAGCAACGGAAGCGAGTGGTTTGGATAGCTCGATCGCTTTTCTTTGCAGTGAAGACAAATTTTGATAACAATCCCAGGAAAATGTTCTAAAAGACTGACCACATCAGAAGGCTTTACTTCTTCCAGGTTTGCCACGTGCTTCAAAATATCTTCCCACCGGGTGAGAAGATTCTTGCACTCGATCAGCTGAGAGTCGAAAGACGTGGGCACTAAATGTCCAGCAATCTCCGGGTCTTCTAAGTTGGCTTCAATCTCGTCGATCAGCTCGTAGATTATTCGCTTCAAGTAAGGACATGTCTTGCGAAGGATATTTTCTTCGAGTAAATTTATAGGACATGTTGGCAAATATTCTGTTACTATTTTCTTCACTGTTTCTTGTCCTTTTTCTGTAACGTTCAAAGTCTCGTGTCTAAAAAAATTTTTTAATTAAGGAAGAAATATTAAAATTATTATAAAATATTTAATGCATTTTGGAGAAAACTTCTTAGAGGCCCACCACAAAGCGCTATCTGTGTTCTCTTTAAAAAAATTAGCACGAAAGAAAACCAGCAAGGTAATTGAAAGAAATATTATAACATCTGAACGAGTGTAATAAGCAGTGCAATCTAGGTGACAAAGAAGACTATGATGTTTTTTATATTTCCTAAGAAAAATGTTAAATTATAAACAAATATTATTCCTTATTAAGAGTTCTTGATAATTAAATGATATTTTTCTATATGAAAATAAATGTAACAAAGTTTGTAGAACAGACTGTACATCTGGTAAAAATATAATAAAAATAAAAAGTTTGAATAATCCAAAAGTGCACGATTCATAATGCTTATTTAATTATGAAATAAAGTAAAGTACCCAGTATTTGAACACATAAAAATGGGACCAGTACTTGAACAGACTTTTCGAATTGTTGTAATACAAAATCCGTATATTTATTATAAGTAATATGCGCATGTTATAATTATTCAATGATACAATAATAGATTTCTGTAAGTTTTTTCAATTATAAATCAAAACAATTATATTTTTATTAACTTAAAAGTTGACATGTCGAGAATAGCCGATAGATTTAAGTAAAAAAATTTGTACCCAATGAAATAGTCTTTTCTAAATAATACATATTTTTTGCAAAGACAAAAACGATAATTTTTTTTATTAAATTTTAGCGTTTAAATATACCTCCAAATTTTCAAAGCGATACCCAGAACTTAAACAAAAGCTGCGGGGCCGTATAATTTTAACAGCACTCTAATCTCTAATAAGTTTATAGACTAGTGATCAGCATTGTCATTTGTATTAATTACTGCAAATTAAATAAGTTTTATAGCAAAAAATTAGTGTAGTTAAAAATTATTGAACGTTTTGAATTGAGTTTTTTCATTTATAATTGAAAATTTACTTTGTCATTCATAAAAAATATAATTAAAAAATTAAATACAAATATTCTCATATGTAAATGAACATATTAAATATTCATAGTATTATTTTTAATATTAATTAATAACATGTTATAATATTTTGATATTTCAATAAAACGTTAGAAATTTTTGGTGTTCAACTACTGCGGCTTGTCAGAGTTGATTGTTCAACTAATACTCCTTTCATAGTCTATCTTAAAAACGTTGTCAAAATATACACGGAAAAAAGTAAACTGTAATAAATAACAGTCGATTTATAATAAGTAATGATCAACTGCTAAAAATTACCATTTCAAACAGTAAAATCGTGATTTTACTATTCACTTTATAAT